AGGTCCAGAAAAGTACCAAGATGATCGACAAAGTAGTCCGTGTGACATCAGTGGTTCAACTGTAAAGTTACGAAGCTTTGTAGTCAGAGTTAATAATGAATAAGTGTTCCACTATTCTAAAATGTTACCAAGACGTTTATAATGTAACAAAATATTTCTATTTCAAATAAATGCTGTTCTTATTAACTATTAATAAGCAGCAAATTAGGAATTTATTGAGGGAAAAGTCAGAGTTAATAATGAATAAGTGTTCACCTATTCTAAAATGTTACCAAGACGTTTATAATGTAACAAAATATTTCTATTTCAAATAAATGCTGTTCTTTTGAACCTTATATTCATCAAAGAATCCTGAAAAAAAAAAAAAGTATCACGGTTTCCACAAAATTCTGAAGCAGCACAACTGTTTTTATCATTCTAATAATAATTTGAGCAGCAAATCAGAATACTAGAATGATTTCTGAAGGATCATGTGACACTTAAGACTGGAGTAATGATGCTGAAAATTCAGCTTTGTGTTACAGGGATAAATTACATTTTACTATATATTACAATAGAAAACAGCTACTTTGAATTGTAATATTATTTCACAATATTACTGTTTTTACTGCATTTTTAATCAAATAAATGCAGCCTTGGTTAGCAGAAGAGACCCAGTTCAAAACATTAAAAAAATGACAATTTTTTTGCTGAGTGAAAAAAAAAAAAAAGACGTAGGATGTGGCCAAAAAACAAAACTGGCATTATAATGAATACCCAAAGTACATGAAGGAAGTCAATATAGAAAGTAATTCACATAATTATCAAGTTCTTTTTTGTTTTGTTCTCACAAATGAAAACGCAGTGCAGTGCAACAGTCACATCCAATCAGAACACATTTGATGTTTTACACATGTGGAGCAGACTTTTTAACAATGACATTTTGCTGTGGGCAGAGCTAACCAGCATAACATGACAGAAACTTGAACCCAAGACGGCAGTACTAGCATACTGCACAGTAACCACTGAATATTATCATCTTAAAAGGAAACTGCAGATTATGCAAATTTTATGTAAAAAAAAAAAAAAAAAACTTGTCGTCTTAGAATTAGGAAAATCAAGTAGTCCTTACACACAGGAAATGTTGAATGTGAATCGTTAGCACAAAAACAGAATTTACTGTCTGTTGCTCCAATTCTGCTTAGGTCAGAATATGAGAGAGAAAATTCAGCTCAAATCTCAAGTCTGCCCGTCCTCACCTGGTAGTTGAGATCCACGCCGGAGGCCAGCAGCACCTCCACCACGGCCAGGTGTCCGTTGCGGGAGGCCAGGTGGAGAGGGGTGTGTTTCTTGGTGTTGGAGCTGAGCAGGTTGGGATGAGCGCTGAGCAGAAGTTTGACCACCTCCAGCCGGCCGTAGAGCGCAGCCAGGTCGAGCGGCGTCTCAAACTTGTTGTTGCGCATGGTGGGGTCGGTCAGCTCCTCCAGCAGCAGCTGCACCACCTGAGTGTGTCCGTACTGAGCCGCACAGTGCAGCGGCGTCTCGTTGTCATTGTTCTGCAGAGAGAAGGAAGAAGAGAGGAGAAGGAGATGTTGATGGACAGAAAGGGCTGATTACTTCAGGACCTGTGCTTAAAAGATCGAGGAAGGAACTGAGGAAGTTGTAGCATTTGCTGAAGACTCCAGTGGGTCGCAAAGCTATGTGACTCTTTGACATAGCTTTGCAATAAAGCCGGCTTTTTGAAGAATGAATAAAAAAACAGAGCAGAATTGTGGGAAATTCATAACTTTGGAGACTGAATTTATGAAATTACCCAAAACACTGACACCCTTATTCAACCAACGATTTTATGGAGATAGACATAGAGCAGAAGAGAACATGCAAGCTTGACCACACGCTTCAAACACACTCAACATCCTCAGGATCTACTAATCAGTGTTAGAATACGCTCTCATTTTGAACACTGTATGCATTACTATTTTTAAGCCAACAGACTTTTGTTAAATGTTTTTGCTTGGAAAAATATGACACTTATTTTATCTAATTCAATGATATTCATACATTAAGTGTGACTTAAGTCTCTAAATGTGCACACTACTGCTCAAAAGCTTGGGGTGGGTACGATTTCTTAATGTTTCTGAAAGAAGCCTTTATGGCTGCATTTAATTGTTCAAAAATACAGTAAAAACAGTAATATTGTGAAATATTGTAATATATTGTAAACTGTAATGTATTCCTGTAATCAAAGCTAAATTTTCAGTCTTCAGTGTCACATGCTTCTTCAGAAATCATTCTAATATGCTGATTTGCTGCTCAATAAACATTTCTGATTATTATCAGTGTTGAAAACAGTTGTGCTGCTTAATATTATCTACAGAAACCATTATACAGTTTTTCAGGAATATTTGTTGACAAAGGTTAAAAGAACAGCATTTATTTGAAATAGAAACCTTTTGTAACATTATAAATGTCTTTACTGCCATTTTTTGATCAATTTATTGTGTCCTTGCTGAATAAAAGTATTTTTTTTTTAATCATACTGACACCAAACTTTTGGATGGTAGTTTGTTTGCACTATATCTGCCTTTGGTTAACTAGCACTCTTGGTATTTGCATGGGGCATTTAAAACCCCAGATTACTTGACAGCTAATGCAGACTGAAATATTATGTTTAAATTAGTGAGTTAAACAAAATGGCACATTGTATTGAATATTCAGCATGACTATAACAAAGCATCCAACTCCACAATGACTGACGTACTGTAAGCCACAGCGGTCAAACCCTGAGCACTAGAGGGCGCTCTTATATTTGCTTTGTTTGCCAACTGAATTAAGTGAAATCTTATGTGTGTAAATATGGAATTACACACCAGATAAACACTTTGACTTGAGCTCTGATGGTACACACTAGAGGACTGATTTTATAGCATTTGATTGGATGAATGTGAATGTCCTCTCAGAGCAGTGCTCAGAGATCAGTGCGCGTGTGTGTGTGCACACACCATTGCATCTATATGGTAAATATACATAATGGACCTTGAAAAAAAAAATAGAGAAGGCAAAAGAGAAAGACAAAGAAATAATAATAATAATAATAATAATAATAATAATTATTATTATTATTATTATCATAAATGAAATAACTGTATTGTGCATTTATTTATTTGTTTTAATATTATTTTAATATGAAAATAAAATATATTTATTGTACCATTTATATCCATTATTATTATTATTATTATTATTAATTAAAATAACTGTATTGTGCACTTATTTATTTGTTAGTTTGTTTGTTTTTTAATGTTAATAGGAATACAAAATATATTTATTGTTTAATTTGTAACCATTATTACTACATTTATTTTCATTATTATTATCACTATTATGACGATAATTTTTAGTGTTAACGATATTAGTACAAAATATTTTTTATTAAATGTATTTATCGTTATATTCATCATCATCGTCATCATCATCATCATCAGTATTATTATTTCAATATATTAATATTATTATATTAATAAAATATTGTGTGTAATTTTTTCATTATTACTGTTGTTGTTGATGATAAAACAAAAAAAACTTTAATTGTACAATTTTTATTTATTATTATTATTAGTGATATTATTAGAACATATTTTGTAATTTTTTCATTATGACTATTATTATTGTTGTTCTTTATATGCTAACAGTAATAATACAAAATTGTTTAAATTTTATTATACATTTTTTATCAAGACTTTGAAGAGAGAGAGAGAGCGAGAGAGAGAGAGAGACGAAGAGACAAACGCACAGAAAGACAGAGGTCACAGTAAGAGCCAATGGGACACAGATGGGAGAACAAAACTACACCTGCTGTGTCCCCCACAGATGGGAAAACCAAAACACAGCAAGCCCTTTATTCTTCACACTGAAAAAAGGAAAACCACAACACACCCACTAGAATCAGATCCTGTAATATCGGCTCTGACATCTTCAGAGTGACTGTGAGCTCTTGTTCAGGCTGTGTGAGCTTGAGCGCAGAGATTTCGACCGACATAAACACAACAGATCCTGAGAGAACTGAGGAAACACCTGGAGTCGGCCGGTATCTGATGCAGATCTCCATTCTCAGCTCCTCAGTGAGCACAGAGTCGCCTCCTCAAACACCATCTCTCTCTCTCGCTCTCGCTCTTTTCCTTAACTCACAGAGTAGTGTGTCAGCGACTTTTCATGTCTCTGCTGAGGAACCGGACACCACAGAAGGTCAAAGTCTTTCAACATAAAACCAGCTTCACACAAGAGATTAATTTTCCTGTTAATTCCGGCCCACTGCTGACAAACCGACGCACAGGAGAAGTGAGCTTTCACCGTTTCAAACAGAAAGTGCTGATCTGCCTTTGACATTTTAAAAACAACACATGCACAACAGAAACGCTGCATTGTGTTTGTATTTCTTCTGTTTGACACAGCATGTTAGCGCTCGCAAGCCCAGAAAGGAACTACCTCTAAAATGCTAATGGACTAGCTTCAAAAATAAAATGTGATGAGAAAATGACATGAAATCCATTTTCATTCAAATCTGTACTACATATTTGGAGTCACCATCAGATGGTGGGTGTCCAACATATATAGGTATATATAAATCATATATAAGAGTCATATGGACATATGGCTTTTGCCTCCTGAAAGCTTTTAATCGATGTAATTGCATGGAAAATGGCAACCAGCACATTTCTCAAAATACCTCTTTTTGTGTTCCACAAAAGAAAGTCACTCATGCAGGTTTGTGGCTGAGTAAATCATGACAATTTTGATTTTGGGGTGAACTCTTTCTTTCACAGTCGACGGCCTTTCCTGAGCTCTGGACTAAACATGATCAAACGAGTGCAAACCGACAGAGCTTAGCTTTCCTCTCTCTGCGATTAATAAGCCCGATGACTCCTCATCTTATCGCATGCATGTGAGCACATGTGCCCTTCCTGAGGGAGAAAACCCCATAAGCACATTAACACAAGTTTCACATATGCATATTCACAATTTCACTGTTTGAAATTCAGCGTTTCAGTTACACAGGAGACAAACGCAGCCTGGCGATGGATTAGTCTAGAAAGGTTATGATATGCAGCCTGTCAGGTCAGCGCACATGCATACGGATGAGGATGAGGATAATCAGTGCTGAAAGCTGACCCACCACGTGATGTCATACTGATTACATCATCAGCGTGTGCCTGTGGGAACAGCTGCCGCCACCAGAGCAGCACACAAGACACACACACACACACACACACACACACACACACACACACACACATACTGTATGTATATATATATATATATATGTGGTTCCATGCATATATTTATATATGTGTAAAAAGTTAAATAGAAATATTAAAAAACAATGACAATTATCAAAGCACATAAAATTATTAAAACATTAAAACAAAAAATTTTTGAATGAAAAGTGAAATTATAAAAATAACTTAATTCAACACACGCACACAGACACACACGCACACTCACACTCAGACACAGACACAGACACACACACACACGCGCTCACACACTCACACTCACACACTCACACATTTTATATTATTTAAACATAATAATTAACATTTTAATAATTAATAATAATTTAATGAACATTTAATGAATACTGTATTTGTAATTACAAAGACATTCATTATTCGGCCATTTTTATTGTATTTATAAAAAGTTGATATACTAAATTTTATTTAAATCATCAAAGTCAGTACAACAAATATTATATAAACTATACAGTTAAAATATAGAATTATATTTCACATTACATTACTGACATTGATGCAAATTTTTGTATTATAAAACGAAAGGAAATGTGGTTAAACTGTCATAAAAATAATGTTGCAATCAGTATTAAGTATTGTTACGTAAAAATATGAAAAGTTAAATAAATATAAATTTAAATATTAGATGAAAAACAACAAACTGTTGAAATAACTGAAATAAAATTGTAGAAGTTGAAGTACTAAAATTACTCAAAGTAAAACTTAAATAAATATAGACTTAAGCTAAACAGAAATAATATACATAATAAAATATATATGATAAATATTTTATTATATATATTGTTTTGGCCACGGAAGCATGATAGCGGGCTTTGTCTTTAACGCACTTCATTCTACGAAACGTTTATTCCTTCTTCTTGTCTATTTGTAAAATTATGTATTTATATTGACCAACAAAAAACATTAAAATTAAGATACAAATTATTCTAAAAGAAACTCATTCCAAAAAAGGGATTCTACAAACAAAAACGTATGAAGTGGTCAAAAAATTATGCCTGACCCACTTCCTTCCTTCCGGCGTACTGCCGTCCGATTTACCACGCCCTTATGACGCTTACAGTTTTCTTTCTTAATTAACAAATTTAACTAAACAAATAATATTTAAGCATGAATAATATAAAATAAAAATACACTTTCTTAAATGGCTACAACACACACACACACACACACACACACATATATACAGTGGGTACGGAAAGTATTCAGAACCCCTTAAAATTTTCACTCTGTTATATTGCAGCCATTTG